AAAACTGCTGGTGAGCGGCATCACTGTCTCTCTCTCTTTATCTTTCTCTTGCCTGTTCTTGTACAGAAGTAATGCAGTCCGAAATATGATAAAGGCATTTTTTGTATGTGTGTGTGTGTGTGTAGCAGTTGGAGCCTTCTCAAAAAGAGCAGCTTCTTTCCACAGTGGACAGTCTCAGCACTGAGTTACACAAGCTGGAGGACATTCACTGGATCTGTCCCAGCATGCACTGCTCTGAGGAGGTTTGTCCTACCCAACATTCATGTCTCCAGTGCTTAACTTTGAGTGTGACCCTTTGGACTTGCATTTTAGCTAGCATTACTTTATCTATAGAGCACAACAATTGGATTCCAAAAGTAAAAAGTACATTCGTTTTCTCCAAATAGATAGTTTTTTTTCAATAGGGTGTGATTTTGAACTTTTAAAAAAAAATTATAAAAATAAAATAATCCTGGTGAGTATTACTAGTCGATGGTTACACTACAACTGAAAAGTTTTTTTTTTATGTTTTTGAAAGAAATCACTAAGGCTGAGTTTAATCAACAAATACAGTACAATAGTGATATTGTGAAATATTATTTTCTTTCTTTTATTATTTTCTATTTTAATATATTTTAACGTGTAATGTATTCTTGTGATGGCAAAGCAACATTTTCAACCGCCATTACTCCAATCTTCAGTGTCACATGATCCTTCAGAAATCCTTCTAATATACTGATTTGCTGCTCAACAAACATTATAAATATTAATTTTTATAAATGTTTAAAGCCGTTGTTCTGCCAAATTAGTTTGTGGAAATTGATTTTTTTTTTCTAGAAGTTGATGATAAATTCAAAAGAACAGCATTTATTAGAAATAGAAATCTTTTGTAATATTGTAATTTGTCTTTACTGTTCCTGTTGATCGGTTTAACGCATCCTTGCTAAATAAAAGTATTAATTTCTCATTTTTAAACCAAATTTTTGAATGGTAGTGTATAAACTTTTAAATGGCATCATCATATATGGTATCATGTTTTGTTCTGAATCAATGAATATAATTTTGCAGCTCATCTCTAGCTAGTTTGCATCATGGCATAAAACTGATCATGTGATAAGAACAACATACATCACATGCATTACTGGATTCCATTTTATTACATTGCATATCACCCCGTCTTTCTTCCTGTCTACCTGTTGTTGGTTTAATACCAGGACCCGTCCCGTGTGCCTGGTAAAAGCAGTATGAAGCTGAAAATCATGCCCAAGGGGAAGAAGGAGAGAGAGCGCTTACATAAACAGCGGTCCAGTGGCTCTCTATCAGGTAAAAGACACATTCACTTGCAGAAACACAGTATTAACCAGCCTCATAATCTCACCGTCATGCTGGATTATTCACAGTAAGACTGTCATATGCAGTGTAGTGCAGGATGTGGCGCAGCCATGTCATACAAAGCAAGTGCCAGTTGCTTGGCCTGATTGTAAACTAATTATTTCTAATCATCTCCTTGTACAATTGTCAAAAGTTTGGACACATTATGATTTTTAATTGTTTTTAATGAAGTCTCTTATGCTCACAATTAATTGTACTTAAGCTCACAACCCTATTCTGAACACATTTGTTTGCACCGCTCAGGATCTTGGGATATCAAAGGCGGGATGTGTGATATTGATTCCGCGGGCAACTGAAGAGCTGAAGTGGTTTGTTGCAGCTCTGTCACGAGGACACGCTCTGCCACGGGACACTGTTTTACGGCCAGCGAGGGAGGACGTGAGACCCGCTGTGAGACACATGCCCCACCCCAGTGTTTGTGAGCGGCCCGGCACTGCATTACTGTGCTTCTGTTCTGTTTCTACTCTGCCTGCGGATGGTGTCACAGGAAATGCTCATCATCAGAGAGCAGGAAGTGGAGCATCCATAATCTTATTTTATGATCTTGCTCATTTTTTTCTCTTTTTATTAATATTCAAGCCGTCAGACACAAACTATAAAACTTTATTCGCTCACCAAAGGGAAAAAAAATATATATATATATATTTCTTTGGCGCCGTCCTGTCGTCGCCTGAACAACAAGAAAGGAGCAAATTAAATCAAACAAAACAATTGTATTAAAATGAAGAAAATTAAACAAGTGCAAAAAAAGGAATATCCTGATGAATGAATGTATGGTGGTCCTGTATTATTCGTCAAACTGGCTGAATAGTTAATCTGCATCTAGTCTCTGTATCTCTATCAAAAGACCATCTAGTTTCTGCATGCCTTTCATGCCCTTATGCAGAAAAAAAGGTCTATTTTTTCTTTTTACTCTCGGATCGTCAGCCAAGTCGTGATGGTGTATCACTAGTGTGTCAATTGAGCCGTCGTTCTAGAAGCTTCAGTGCCGTAACTCTTGTGCCAAGTGAGTAAATGGAGCGCAGTGGTTTAAAGTGAGCTGTTTCTTTACTATTTTCTGCAGGGAAATGTCGTGAAAGAAAGTGATGCTGTATGTCGTACATTTCAACGTATTTTATCTCGCCTTGCACTTTAATATAGAAAACAAATGTTTAAAAATGCAAACTTAAAAGGTTGTGTGTTTCTTGTCAAGAATACTGGTATCCATTCATGGAAAACCTATGATGAGATATGTTACATATAAGACAGTATATAATCCAACTTATGAATGTTATTAAACTGTTGCCCCTTTTCAGGGGTCAGTCTGGACATGGGAACCCTGAGGGAAAGCAAAACTTGAACTTGCCTAATGTGTGGATCACAAACAGTATTTATCAACAGACTCCAATGGTACACGTTTCCATTAAAATAGTATTCACAATACTGGACAATTTAATTGTTTTCTTGATAGTTGTGAGCCAAAGTCTAACAGTATTGCTCTGTAAAAAAGTAAAAGACATTACAAATATGGTCTTGATATGAAAGTTTGATGGACAGTCTAGGTGCTGAGTGTGCCTCTAAAACTAGGACTGTATTTTTTATTATTTTGCATGTCTTTGTTTTAAACTTCCTCATCTGTGATGAATTGTTGCTGTGTGCTGTTTATTTTTGATTGACATAGCAAGCATTACTTTGACCATCGCCGCGTACCAGCACATCGATTATGACTGTGGTAATCAGGTACAAGCGGAAGGCAATGATTTTATGAATAGAAAATTTATTTTTGAATTTTTTCTTTGAACAGAGAAAAAGAACCAAAACAGAAGAGATTGAATTTTTATTTGCTGGTACCAATAGTCAAGACTACTGTTTATTTTTAAGATGTATTATTTATCCTTTTTATTTAAAACATTTTTGCCATATGGGTTGCAGTCAAGCTTCCATGGCCTTGGACTCTGTCTGACTGCAATCACCTACTTCAGGATTGTTGCTGTTGACTTGACGCAAAAATAAAGTGTGGCCATTACTGTTTGACTTGTTGCACTTTATTATCATGGTTTCATATGAGAGAGCTCAGTTTGCTTTGTGTCCATTTCAAATAAGAGTTAATTCATTGCTTTGTCAGTGTTGAAAACCTACATTATTTTCAGCGACCGGTGAAAAGTTTGGGGTTAGTATGATTTTATTTCACTTTTATTCAGCAAAAGTGTCATTAAAGGATTTTAAATTGGAATTGTTAAAAAACTTTTTCTTTTCTTTTTTTTACACAAGGATCGGGATACAAGACTGGAGTAATGGCTGCTGACAATTCAGCTTTCCAATCATAGGAATAAACTACATTTTAAAATACAATCAGAACAGAACACAAACAGAAAAACGATTTACCTACCCCAAACTTTTGAAGATATATATTTTCAAACACATTTTAAATATTTCTATGAAACGGTGTGCAAAACTGAAATGAGTTTTAAAGGGGTCATATGTTGCTAAAAAGAACATTATTTTGTGTATTTGGTGTAATGAAATGTGTTTGTGGTTTAAGGTTCAAAAAACACATTTTCCGCATACTGTACATTACTGTTTCTCCTCTATGCCCTGCCTTTCTGAAACGCAAAGCTCATCGGTCTGAAAAGCGAGGTGTGCTCTGATTGGCCAGCTATCCAGTGCGTTGTGATTGGCCGAATACCTCAAGCATGTGACGGAAATGTTACGCCCCTCACCATACTGTGATGATGAACTGTCCGGCCGGAGCCATGAGACAAAAACATTAAAGCCCATTATAAACGAGGCATTTGTTGCATCCAGTGGGGACATAATTACTGATTATAATGACTTATACTGTCTTTTTACGCGTTGCATCACACCGCGTAAACATAAAACCATGTCTGCATTTGTGATCGGAGAAATGACAACAAGCACTACTCTACACTGCTCAAAACTCGTGTTTGAATCGTCAGTGGCAAATCATTTAAATATAAAAAACGTACTTGCAGTCTGTGAGTCAGAACAGCCGGCATTGTAGTCTACTCTCCCAGGATCAGGAAACAGTCCTCCATAAAATGCGCAGCACACATCAGAATATTTGGGTTAAACTGTTCTGGAACAATGTTGTAAATACAACTTAACCACTGATTTCTAGTCGTGTCCTCTTTTGGAAGACCAAACAAAGTAGTTTCACTTTCTTAATGAAACACACAGCGTCACACACGGCGGGCTAGAGTGAGCGGCGGCCGGCGGATTCGACAAAGGAGCGTCCGGCGGGCGTGCGGTAACCACATGTGACGATCCCGGACGATTGATGTATTTCCTCAGCGACCAGCACGGATCAGCTCTAGGCATGATGAAGCGGATATCGTCCTCTTTTGGAAGGCCAAACAAAGTAGTTTCGCTTTCACAACGAATCACAGTGCCTTCACGATATGGCGACCGCAACAATACAACAGCGAGAATAAAAGTTACACTTTTTTTCTTTGCGTGAACATTTGGGCGGCGTTATGCAAATCTTCCCACATAGTGATGTAGACATGTGGGGGCGTGTTAGAACGAGGCGTTTTAGGTCGGCGTGGTTAACTCAACTCTTATAAAGAATATCTCTTTGGATTTGAGACTTTAGTCTTTGCAACTTTACAGATCTTCTTTATGCACCAAGAGCTTGTAACACTCCAAAGAGAGAGGAAAAATTGAAATCGCATCATATGACCCCTTTAAGACTTCTCTAACTTTTAAGCACACACTAACATATTTTAGCAGACAAAAAAAAAGGCTAACCCCACATTTTTATAAATCCCTTGTGATATTGTAAACAAATACATAAGCTCAGAAACACAACCGTTACTCCTCAGAATAAATGTTCATTTTTCTGGGGGGACAGCAGCAGGCTCTTCTAGCTCAGGTGGTCCATCACCTGCCTGATTTTCTTCTTCTTTCTCCTCACTCTCTTCCTTCTCCTCTTCGTCTTCGAAGTCAGACTCACTGATGTCATCATCTGAGATGTACCAGTCGGGTTTGACGTCTTCCTGTTCTGTGTTCATCTCATTGTTGACCTCTGGCTCAGGTTTGTGTTTGGGGTCCTCAAGTTTCCCCCAGGCTACAGCATCAGCCTTCCGCATGGTCACCTCAACTTTAGAGGGCACCATATTTACAAAACTGCCCTTCACGTCAATCACCTAAGAGACCAGAAGTGGACACAGATGTTTGACTGCATTTGACTTGAGTAAATAAATACAGTGTGTATATATATATTTGTATATATGTATGTATGTATGTAGGTATATATATATATTGTTGTTCGAACAATTTAAACTAAACTAAAAGCATTACTTTCTAAGTTTCAGGAGGATATATAATTGCTTAATCATAACAGACTGTACAGCAATCTTACCCCCCATAAGTGGATGTCCTTATGAAACACTTTGTCACCCTCAAACTGAATGTGGCATGTTAACTGCAGATTGATGGAGACAAAAAAATATATATTTATGGACAAAGACACAAATACATTTATAAAATGTCATTGGATGCTGATGTGAAGTGACTTTTGCATGTTGTTTTGAACTGACCACTGTGCGGTTTGCCTCCACGTAGGATTGCTCTGGACTGGAGTTCTTGGCGTAGATTGTGACCACGACCTGGTTTCCCGTCTGGTGCCAATCATGCCTGCAAGCCACCTTCTTTTTGTCCTACAGACCCAACACAAACACGACATACAGATTTCAGAAAGGGGTAGTTAGTTGTTCTTGATTATACAGCGTACTGTATGTCCATGCAAATAACTATCCACTGAACAAAAAAGTGCATTAGCTCTCACCTGTTTGGGGATCCAGCAGTGTTTTCCTGTTGTGCAGCCCTTCTGATCCAGGAAGGCGTTGAAGTCAGTGGTTTTTATGCAGCAGCAGTTCCAGTATTTGTATCTAGACAGTGATAGCCAGATGTGAATTATCATGCATCTCCCGTCTCATCTCACAAAGACAATATGTTTAATTGCTTATAGTAAGAGCACTTGTGTGAACACATGATGATCTCTTTGTTGAATTGGACTGCACATGTGGATCTCAATGAGAAGCTTTATGAAAATAGGCCTTGTTGTATAGTTAGAGGTTGAGTCATATTTCCAAATAAAGACTCAAATGCTGCGGGTTTCTTACCCTTCATGGAAGACGGGGACCCCGGGATGATATGTGCAGATCTCTGCATTCGTCTCTGGACTCTGGTAAATCTGAACGCACAAATGATCAAAGTGTTTGAACAGCTATTCATAGTCAACACAGAGACTACAGTTTAAAGAAAGACATTTATGCTCCAGAGAAACACTCACAGAAACTCAGCATATTCACAAAAGCAAAACTTTAAAGTGCTGATGCACCTGAACTCAGCATAAGCTCTGTGTCATCCGTTTACTGCCTTCACACCTAAAAATACACTCATTTTTCTACTCATCCAAATAGATAAATGAACAGGAGGCTGTAACAGAGCTATACGTGCTGTCAGTCTCAATGGCTAGAGAAAACACCATGAACTCTGACAAAAGAGAACCAACATTATGCCATTAACTTGATGAGCAGGACTGAGCACAATTCAGAATTGAAGAATTATTTTCCTTTCACTAAAAAAGATTACATTTCAGTGTCCACAGGAGTCTGAAATGAAACTTGAATGGGATTGACAGGAAGAGGAATTCACTAAACTGCAGACCAAAGTCTGTGCTTACGTCGTCTGAATCCTTTTCAAAGACCACAGTGCATAACATGACATTTAATGAAATATATTAAAATATATTAAATACCCTAAATTAAATTCCTTGTGACATTTCAAACCATCTATGAAAACATGCTTATAGCTAATTCATAGTGGGGAAAAAAAGCAAAAAAGTGAAACTCACATCATTAAAAAAAAAAGTCATTAATTCAATTGTGAACAACACACAACTCTGCTGATACAGGTTTAGTTCTCATATGGACTAAAGAACAGCTCCGCTGAGTAATTATCATCATGAACCTTTGAGATTTCAGCAAACTAATCCATTAAAGATGATCCTTTCCCTTAGAAGGGAAGCTTTAACAGAGGGCACTAAGGTCAAATCCCAGTAAGGGATCTGAACCTGCGGCTTTAGTCATTAATTCTCACTCACATTCTGCTCTGTGTCCATTCAACATTACACTGGTAAAAAAGCTGTTCCTGTTCTCATGGCATTAGTTGTAAGGACCAAAGGAGGCTGATGGCGGGTCAGTACTTTTACACTAAAATACTCAAAGGCCCAGGATTGATTCTTTGTGGAGTCTGTCTGGAGTGTCATTCTTTATTATGGACACTAGATGGCATGAACTGTATATTTCGTTAAGCAAGCTGATTTGTTTGGTGTAATTGACATATTACATGAGCACCTACTGTTTTACATCCTGTGTTCTTGCACTTAACCCCAGCCATGATGACTTGACTCTCTGCAGGACAGCGAGAGGGAAGAGGTGACGGGAGAAAGGCAAAACAACAGTGAGATGAAGAAGTCAGCTGATTTCTCAAAATGTGCTAGTCACATTATATAAAAAATGGCAGTCATGTGTCACCATACAAACAGCACACACAACACAAAACCCTACACAATCCTACAGTAGACTTGTGAGCACAGCAGGGTGTTACTGTGTTTTTACAGAGGTCTTACTGTAAGTGACAGATTATGGACAGGCGGACCTCACAAAATACTGTCACGGACTGAAATAAGCTTTGGCAGAACCAAGAGCTATATAAACACTGCACTAGCAAAGATACTCACTGGCAAAAAAATTAAAATAATAATAAAAAAGGCTTTTACCTTTACCTTCAGGAGGAGAAAAATGCTTCACATATTTTTTGTTTGTGGTGTATGTGTGCAACATGCACTCTTCCTCAAGAACCATTAACAAAAATACACAAAAATAAATATGATTTAGACCAGTGTTATTTTAGTACCATTGTTATAGATATTTTTTTGGTAACACTTTATAATAAGGTTCCATTAGTTAATGTTAGTTAGAAACAATGAACAATACATTTATTACAGTATTTATTAATCTTCGTTAATGTTATTTAATGAAAATACAGTTGTTCATTGTTAGTTCACGTTAATTCACAGTGCATTAATGAATATTAACAAGAACAACTTATGATTTTAATAATGCATTAGTAAATGTTGAAATTAACATGAACTAAGATTAATCAATGCTGCAGAAGTCTTGTTCATTCTCAGTTCATGTTAACTAAAGTAGTAACTAATGAACCTTATTGTAAAGTGTTAGCAATTTTTTAAAAATTTTAAATTATATTTTATTAGTTTATTAGTTATTTTATTTATGCTTATGTTTTCTGTTTCCACTTTAATTTTAGTTAAAGTTTTAGAAATTTTTGCAATTGAGTTTTTGTCATTTTTATGATAATAACCCTGACGCAGACTTTATTAAATACAGGCTCACTTGCAAAATGAATAAACATAATTTGCGCCGAAAACAATGTATTTTGTGAATTATTGGCTGCAAAGATTAACTCCCATTTATTTATCTTTATTTTTATTTTTTTGCAATATATATAATTATTATTGAACTATACTGTTAATGTTATGGTATGCAAAGACTGATGCTTTTTATTTATCAATTTATTTAGCCTTTTTGCATTACTTATATGATTAATAATATTAAACTATTATATCAATATTGTTTCAGTGTTAATACCAATACATTTCATCACATGGTTTTAAAGGATATTTGTGTTACTTTTGTGTTGGGTTGCAACATTATTAAACATTATTTGTGCTGAATGCAGTGCATTTTGTGAATTATTAGCTTTAATCCCTTTAAGATTAATCCTATTTCTTCTATCAATTTTTTTTTACATTAGATTAGCATTACAATATTAATATCAACTTCTTATAATTGTATGAATACATTATTATCAATGCATTTCTTTTATTTATTTTACAGACATGTTTACCTTTGTGTTGGGTTGCCAATAAATGTCCAATATTAAATCAGGGTGCTGAAGCAAAACCAGCAGAGAACCAACGCACTAGAATCAACATGCTGCAAAGATTAATCCTATTTCTTCTATCAATTTTTTTTTACATTAGATTAGCATTACAATATTAATATCAACTTCTTATAATTGTATGAATACATTATTATCAATGCATTTCTTTTATTTATTTTACAGACATGTTTACCTTTGTGTTGGGTTGCCAATAAATGTCCAATATTAAATCAGGGTGCTGAAGCAAAACCAGCAGAGAACCAACGCACTAGAATCAACATGCTTTTGTTGCAGGTGATCCTGAGCTTTAGGAATAATAGGAATTGATCACCTAGCTTCTCTCTCTTCTCCCTCTCAGTGATCTCCATTTTCTCCATGATCTGAGTCAGAGAGGGAGAGATCTTCACCTGCAGCTTTGTCTGTGGCTCATCTGAGCTGGGAAGGAGGGAATCGAAAAACATGTCACTGTCTGTTTTTATTTAACAGTCACAAGGAGCTGTACTTCTCTTTTTGAAAGAGACAAAGAGAAGGCTTCAGAGAAGGAAAACTAATTTTGTATTCAGAACAATGAGTTGGTGTGTGAAACAGAACACACTGTGTGAGCTGCGTATGTACTCTATATACCTGGGTCTCTCTTTTTCCAGGGCTTCTGCAGATTTGGGTCCCTGGTAGATCATTTCCTTTCCACTGTGCTGCTTCACGTCTCCCTTATCAGACGTCACCTCCGGCTGCAGAGGCTCCTGAGGCTTCTCGTCACTATGGCGCCCACGGGTGCAACCCTGAGAGGACAAGCACAGAAAGCAGAAAATAATTAGCAGATACAGAGCAGATAAATGACATGTTTTGAGATTGTGTGAATGTGAATGTCTCTCCATCACAAAGATGGCATAAGTTCGATTATTACTACTATAATTACTTATTTTTGAGTTTACACATCTGTTAGCTTTTGTAGTTCTTGATATTCAGTACTGCTAATATTGGCTGCTACATGATAATTTGGTATTTGATAAGTCATCTGATAAATGAATATACATGCAATACATGAAAGCCTGCCACGCTATTGAATTGAATTATTTTATGTATTTTTTTATTTATTTATCAGTGGTTCTCAACCAGGAGGCCAGGGGCCCATTAGAGGGCCCCAGAAAACTTCCAAGGTTGCCTCAAGACAAAATGATTTACATTTTAATTTCAGTTCATTTGAAAAATGGGATTTCTAGACCTGGAAAAGTCATGCAAATGAATAAAATATTAAACTGCCATTGACTTTTATTTATAATGAATATATATTTCTAGTTATGTCAAGTACCATAACATTTTAGTAAGTACATATTAATGAATGGAAATTAAAAATCCTTATCTTTGGACTTTGTAGGATTTTGGAGTCGCTGCATTATACTGATATGTTTTCAAACACTTTACAAGAAGGTTCAGTTTGTTAGTTAACGCAATTTATATCATGAAATCCATCACAATTATCATATTATTAGCATACCTTGATTGACAAGAACTCTGAGAAATCTGTCGTCCTCTTTTTACAGCAGGACCAGCCCTGAGGAGAAAACCCCAAACAAAGACCCACATCAGACAGCCAAGAACAAAATAAAACAAAAACATGAATACTAGACTCCCTAAGAAGCAGGCAAACACGACAGCGCTCTTATCAAGTTATGACAGAACTGAGCAGCCGGCGGTCTGTATGGAGTGAGACATATTTTGAGCTCACCTTTAAGGCATCGTGGAAGATTGGCACTCCGGGGTGAAACTGACAGGCATCTTCAGGTGGTGAGAGAGAAAATAGGGTTAGTAGAAGACATTTATCTACAGAAGTTCATCCTCATTACTATTTTTTTATGACCAGGACTCAATACAGCTGAGTGATGAGTCAGTTGGGAGATGAGCCATTTATGGAAGTAGCATTTGATTCGAACACCTCCAAATGTGCTCGAGACTTCATGGATCCAATAAACCTCTAAGGACAAACATTAAATCACCTTTTCTACAATTTCCAAACGTTATAAATAAAACATGGAAGAATAAACGGTACATAGCTGGAGGCGGTCTTGTTGCAAAATGACAGAAGTTAAAGGGATAGTTCACGTTCAGTTGCTGGTCCCCATTGAGTTGCATAGTGTTTTTTTCTCTCTCTCCATACTATGGAAGTCAATGGGGACCAGCAACTGAAGGTGAACTATCCCTTTAAGTCCTGGCCCCCAGTGTCTCTGAGGCCAGCGGATCTCATTCACACTGCAATCAGCTGTCGGCTCACCACTCAATTTCTAAATAATTCAATTTCTAAAACAGCAGCTTCACAGGTCTAGTGCAGAAAGTGATAAAACACTTCTCTTTCAGTTGTCAAACTCTAAAGGTGATGATACACTGGGCAGCTTTTTGAGCAATGTTGCCGTCAATGGGCAACCAGTTGAGAGACAGGGCCCACGACTGATCTAAAGTATCCAGATAGATATTTGTTGCCCATTGTCAATGGGAAAGTGCCCAAACAACATTGCTCAAAAAAGTTGTCCTGTGTATCAACACCTTAAATGTTGTTGGTAAATTGGTAACATCAGGACTGTAATATCAGCCATGACCTTCACATGGACAATTAAAATATATACAGTTCAATTAAAAAGAAATTCAAGATATACTTTTTTTATTATTATTACAATAAGCTATAAATTGATAAATTGTAAAAAAATGAATTAGAAATCTTACCATCTGAGTTTTTGTCAGCATCAAATCGACCCCCGCAGCCTCTGTTGTAACACAGTAGAGCCATGTTGAACTGTTTGTTATTCAGGTTGACTTTCGATTTATCACTGGTCTCTTTTCTCTGTTTGTATACTCTGTTCTGCGTTCGTCTCAGGTACTTATGAACTCGCACAGCCGCTGTGAAACTTCTCCAGAACTTTCAGCCGAGGAGAGATCCAGAAGGAACACGTCCAGGGAAAGAGAAGGAGAGAGATGTTCTAGTCTGAATGAATTCTAAAAATAGCCAGTGCCATGTGCGCTCTCTCTCTCCTTACAGCTGTTGGGGTCTGTCTGAGAGGGTGTGACATTCCCGGGATCTGATGGGGGCAGGGGCTAGAGCTGAATCCTCAACACCTCACTAAAACCACTAACAAATGCCACAGAATAAACTGAAACCAGTCTTCTCCAAAGCTGGTTTATCAAGTCACTTTTTTTTTTACTTGATTAACATCATCGATAATGGCTGACAAATTAAGAACATATTAACGGCGTGTTGTAATTTTTTACAAATGTAAATATTTTTAATAAATACTATGTAATGTTTAAAATATTAAACACCTAAAATGTTCTATTTTATGATTTCACTTCTACAGCTATGCACAATTCTGGTTTCATATTTCTATTATTTAAAACAGCATCTGATGTAATAAATATTAGATAAAGGTAGCACTTGGAGCATGCACTCAAAAAAATGAAATCTGAGAAAAAGAAAGTGTTGTTTGATTAAAATAAATAGAGTATGTTGAAACAAATAAAATGAATACGTTTAAGGGATGTACAAAGTTATTTCAAGTCAGTCTAAAATAAATCCAGAGGAAGTTAAAAGAGCTCAATTTATTTATGCTGAAACAACGAATAAGAAATGAGTTGAGTCAACTACTTCTCCTGCGCATGCTCAGAAGAGCATGCGCAGGTGCAGAGATGCAGAGAAATCTTTATAAAGGAGATTAAACAATATGGTACCACATTAGACAAAATTAAGAACAAAAAAGCTAGAAAGACCTATGAAGCTTTTTGTTACTTTAAATTGTTGTAATTTTACCCCTGGCTTGAATTGTTTCACTTTACATATTATGATTATTTATTTGTTTTTGTACTTGCTGCGAGTTGTATATGTTTGTACAAATCTTTGTATAATTTTTGCATAATAAAAAAAAAAAAAGGTGCAGAGAAATCAATAAGTACACAAATATTTTATATATACCTTGTCTGTATTGTGCAGATAGTGAGTATTAACATGTTTAGAACAGTCCGAGTTAAACATAAAGCGGATATTTGACTGTTTATGTAAACATTTGAAACGGAATATGTTTAGACTCGATGAAAAATAGCGGATTGATCAAAATGCCTGCATAAATGAACATAATTGTATATTAACGCGGTAGTTGTATAGCCCTAACACTTGTTTTAAGTGGTATTTCATTCGATGGATCGGTTATATTAGCCATTTCATTCAGGCTAGTGTTGCTCAGCATGTTGTTTAGCAAGCAAGGGGGTATCTTCATACAGGTAGAGACGAGAACACTGCACATTCAAGTAAAACTAATGAATATTTATGTAACATTTATGTTGTAAGCTGAAGGCTGTGTTGTCCATACGATACTACTGTACATTACTGTTACAATACAGTATTATTGTTATGGCTGCTGTATTTATTAATTCATTTGTATTTTTCATTTCACAGGTTTTAATAAGAGCATAATAAACGGCTTCCTTTGTTTGGCTTTAGTCTACTTTCATTGGGTAAGTTGTATAAAGTGTTGTTGTATAATGTTCTTAAACTAATGCATATTTTTCCAAAACCATTTATTATTGCCATGAAATTGAGGAAAGTGTTTTATTGATTGGTGTTTGGACATACTTAATTTTTTGGTTGCTAGAATAAAAACATATAATAGTATGATAATCTGATATGATTCATAATGATTGTTTTACTAATGATTGAAACCTAATAACTAATTGTTGTGCTTGTTTTTCTTCTAGTTATTTGAAAAGATTTGCCTTGTAAAGAATGTGGAGCATTTGAGTCTAGCAGGTACAAACTGTGTACATTATAACATTTATAATTTGTTATATTTACTGTATATCTGTGTGTGTGTGTGTTTTCACATACATTTTCAGTTAATACAGCTGGTCAAGGAGTGCAATGTAAGCAAATGCTTATCTCTTTCATCATCTAATTCACTTTCATCTATTTCCTGTTCTGCATTAAATATTAGATGTCATACAAATGCAGCATATTTTGTATGTTTTGCACAGGATTGTGATTGGTTGACTGCCAAAGAAGCCATGAGCCCAGACAGTAATTGGGATCTGCATTGTTTGACATGAAGGACATGACCCAGTAGATCAGAAGGGGTTGACATTCTCATTTCTTTGAGGAACGCAGCTGTGGCACTGGCCATGTTATTCAGACTCATTTATGCCTTTAACCTTAGCTACCCATGAGGACTCAAATCTATATTTGAGGTCTTCCAACAGTGTTCTTCAGCCTGGATGCACGTAGACTTTCATCAAAAGTGCATGCTCTGAAGAACAAGATGCTGGAGTAAGTTGATCCTGTTCTATCGTATTCTAAGCTCAACACTGAGCAGATTTTTTTCTATTTAACAGTATTTTTTTTATTGTAATATCAATATTGTTAGTCCTCTTTTTTTGTATTTTGCATTGTAGTTTGTTTCTTTGTATTACTTAAATGTCAACCTAGCTGAAACTTTAAAAATACTAATGTGGTTTATTTAAACTGATTCTGAAAATACTGCATTTTTGATCTTGTTCTAAGATGGAGCTCAGCACTGAACAGGAGTTGTTGTCTTTATCTTGTGAAATTGGAATAAAGAAAGACTTAAGACATTTACATTGAGCATTTTATTTATTTGTACATTAAAATATATTTTGGTGGAAATATCAGTAATTACAAGCTGGTTAAAGTAAATAAAGTTGTTCAGTTAAAAAATTTCTGATTGTCGTAATTAAGTGGTTAAAATTAATTGGCTCAACAAGATTAAGTTGTGTACAAGTTAAATCCACAAGATAATTCAAATGAACATGATTTGATCTCATTGGTTGGAGATTAATTTTGCTCTTTGGTTCTATTTACCTAGATTAAGTTGAGATAACATAATTCAAATGCGTGGAAATGTGTGTCATAATTCGATTTATTTTTTTGAGTGTGGTAAAAATGCTGTTTTACATTGTTGTGTTCTGTAACAGCTAGGGAGCTAGGTTAGAGAAACAGATCCACAGTCAAGGTAACAGCACAAACTGAGAGCAAACTATATCTTGGAACAACAAATAGGCACAGACTAAAATAGTAAGGCAATGCAATTAATAAACTGCAGAAGGGAAACCTTGAGGAATGGAGTCAGATACAATTCCTGACTGTGTAGAATAGATTAATATTAATAGATGTTTAGAGTCAGCAACATGAAATCTGTTAAAAATGTCCTTTATTAAGAAACCGGTGAGAGCGAGCGTTAAATCCATTTATTCACAAGGCAATCACTCATGGTTCAGGTTAGAGGCTTGCAACCATAAATTTTCTTCACAAATACAGACACCAAAACAGGGACTGAGACAGAAAGAAAGAAAGAACTTACAAAAACTGACTCGAGCAAAAATTGCGAGAAGGAATATAACATACCAGATCAGCACAACCAACCACTGACAAATCATAAACAGATATACACAGAACCCGTCCATCACTACGACAACAACTGCTTACTAAAAAACAGCACCATATTTAATAGAACTTCGCAAACGTTACATGAAACAGCGAAACTTTCCCAGGCATGTCAGATACAAAAACATGCAAGAAAACGGGTACAAATTATAAAGCGATCGAAAGAAAATGGAGGTACATACGACAGTTCAAGAGAGACTGGTATCATAAGATATAAGTCAGCAACATGAAATCTGTTAAAAATGTCCTTTATTAAGAAACCGGTGAGAGCGAGCGTTAAATCCATTTATTCACAAGGCAGTCACTCATGGTTCAGGTTAGAGGCTTGCAACCATAAATTTTCTTCACAAATACAGACACCAAAACAGGGACTGAGACAGAAAGAAAGAAAGAACTTACAAAAACTGACTCGAGCAAAAATTGCGAGAAGGAATATAACATACCAGATCAGCACAACCAACCACTGACAAATCATAAACAGATATACACAGAACCCGTCCATCACTACGACAACAACTGCTTACTAAAAAACAGCACCATATTTAATAGAACTTCGCAAACGTTACATGAAACAGCGAAACTTTCCCAGGCATGTCAGATACAAAAACATGCAAGAAAACGGGTACAAATTATAAAGCGATCGAAAGAAAATGGAGGTACATACGACAGTTCAAGAGAGACTGGTATCATAAGATCGTTGACTTCAACCAGTGCTGTGTGGTTCATGAAGCTCACGGCGAAACCAAAGGTAGTTGCAGATGAAAAGTCAATGAAGAGGGTGTTTGATTCAGCTTTAGTTACAGATTACAAATTTCACAGATGACAACCAATACAAGCCTTCTACCAGACTTGAGAGAGTTGATGTACAAGCACAACCAGACATGTCCGATTCCTTTCCCCAACGGTACATAATGAAAAAATAGTGACTGCACAATGTGGTTGACCTTCAGATGAGTAGAGCAAATGGTTAAATAATCTAAACCAGATTTGGTTACTTAGTAACTAATGGAATCAGATTGAATGCCTGGCCACATAGTCCAGGAACTACCTTAATGTCATGATAGGAAATGGTCTACTAGAGAGTAATTTGAACTCTCACAGAACCATTTTATCTAACAGTTGAAGTTGATCTTAAAACAGAAGATATACAAAGAAACATTGGTTGATTTTCCTGTTTCTGAGTCCACTGTCAAAAAGTGCTACAAAGAAAAATCAGGTGGTTCCTTTTGCAGTGAAACTCGTGCAATAGATTCAACAGTAATCACACTGACAGACGCAAAAACAACACAACACGTCACTACACAAATTTGACCAGGTATTTAAAACGTGCGTTCATACTGTAAAAACCCTGCATTCTGGGCCGTGAGGCAGACATGAAGTGCAATTTCAAGAGGCCAGAGAAGAGAAAACAAAAGAACCGGACATCAGGTCATCCAAAATGAACTCGAGGGCAATGATCTTCCAGACAATGACAGACAAATTGAAACTAAACAAAAATAACCAACAACTCAGGAATGAAAAGGGACTTTATTTATGTGAATGAAAAGCAAACAAAAAATGAAAGACAAAATAAAATAAAAAGTTAAACAATCCCACAGTTTCTGCTTTTTATTTTCACCATGCTGAATAAATTCCTTATGGTCTGCATAAATAAATTACAAAAAACACAGTGGGGAAATCAGCATAAACATGGAGGTTGTGTTCTCTCTTTTTTGGCATTTGATGATAAATGGATAAAAAAAAAAGTTGCTGCATTGCTCCCCTGGGCTGATACATGGGGATGATGGCGCTCCTACTGCATACATATTTCTAAACATACTGCATATATCTTTGCAACAGGAAAATAAGGACAAAAAGATGCTAATAAGAATGTAGCAGACAGATAACCCACCTAAAACAAAATCATTAAAGCCAGAGAAGCCAAGACAGCTCCATGACAGCCCAAAGGTGAAAAGGACCCGAACAGCAAGCATCCCCACCAGAGGTCTGAGACGTGTGGCACACGCTGACACATTGATTCTGAAAGGCCGCTGCTGAGCTGAGTATTCCAGGCCAGCTAATGAGCCCAGCCGAGACGTATAAAATCAGGCTAAGTAGTTCAGAAGTACACTGGAGTTGGCTGCTCTTCAGTCTGGTCGAGTGCTCTAAAATAAAGGATGGAATGTAGAGCGGTGAGTCCAATACACTCAAGACATTTGCTTTGTCTGCACAACTGCCCCATAAACAGCAAACAAAGGACAAACTAGCTGCTGTTTATATAAAAGATGACAAACAGCAACCACAAGGAGGAGCTGTGAAAGCAAGATCATAGGGAACGTTTCTATGCATAGCAGGGATTCTAAATAAAAATGAATGTTTGCTACTTGAACGCCTCAACTCAGCAAAACCAAGTAAAGAAAAGCCTTTGGTGTGTCAGAGAAAAAGTGGTCATGACCCGTAGCCAGTGAAACAAGTCGACAAGCCTATAGGTTATCCGAAAGCACTACTCTCATAGGTTGCCAAAGAAACTTGCATCTGAAGACACAGCCTTCACCGCAGGCTGGGCTGCTAATGCATGCAGAGCTTTTAATAATACATTTTAAAAAAGACAAAATATGACTAAGAGAAGGAAACGCTGTGCTCATCGACCTGTGTCAAGGACCAGAAACTGGAGATTACCATGGAAACCCCGGCTCATGATAGCACCCTTGTACATCTTGAGATCTTTCACCCTCCCTGAAGCTCACCATCGTACATTTACTCTCTCACTCACAAACCAAGCCTCCTGTGAGTGGATAATAGAAGAGATCCTAATTAAACGGCATCGCTCCTCAGTGCTCTGTTACCTTACAAACCCAGCGAGAGCATCAACATTGAATAGCCTGCATGTAAAAAGCTTTCAGTCTGAACCTGCTGGACCCCTTGACGGCGCTCAAAGGAGAATAAACTCACAAGCTTGTTAAGAGATGCTCAATAAGGAATTAGTAACCAACTCTTGCACTCACACAGAAATAAGCAAGCAGAGAAACATGATGCAGATTGTTTCTACAAAAGGAAGGGCAGGCTGTCACAAAGCACATATTACAGCAACAACATGAAACTTGCTGTGATGATGTCCAAAGCAAAGACCACACAAAATCAGACTTATTCACCCTAATGGAACTCCAAATGTGTATGATTGACTGAGGAAGGATTATTGTTTGTTACCAATAAATCATTAAAAGTTTGCATTTGTGTGCGCTTACATTATGAAACCTTGCCAGCGATATGTAGTGATCATTTAAAAAAAGCAATAAGCCCCATGAAGCTGTAGTTTACAGTGATTTTAGAACAGCTAAAAAGCCTTGTTAGGCACGACAAGGAGTGGAAATTCTAAAATCACTCTAAAATCACTACGATTTTAAAATCATTGTAAACCACAGCTTTTTGGGGCTCATTCATCATGGCTCAACTACAACCACAGCATATCTCCACTGACGTTCTATCAGTCCATGCAGAATAAAAACGAAACGCTATCACTAAATCTAGCATGAAGAAACAAAGCAGGAATTATGGGATGATGTGAAGGCTGAAGTGGAAGCCTGCTCTAGAAAGGGTTAAAGGGATTTCAGGAGGACCAAAAATGCTTTGGCTGCACAAGCAAAAATAAAGATACCCTGTTAACAGTGCCCCGTATTCTGAAAAACATACTAAAAATAGATTTTAGCTATTGATTTTGGTTCCAAAGTTGGCAAACACAGATACGCACATCCTTTAGAGAAAGAGTTCGCTTATGGCATTTCTCGAATCACAAAAGTACATATTTTGGCAACATAAAACAGACCATTTTAATTCATGTCATTTCCTGAAATAATAAAAATATATATATATAACATGCTTTCTAGAAAAAAAGATTAAAAGACAAAGGACTGAACACCCTGTACCCTTCTCCAATGCTCCCAGGGAGGGTGGTACATGTGGCAGTGGGCTCAGAGTGTGAGATGTAGTTGTAAATGCGTGACATGTTTGCACACAGGTTAACACAGAAGAGCAGGAGCAGATATGTTTATCAGTGTCCTTGGAGTGACAAAACAAGGTGGGAGAGGCCAGTGAGAGGTGGCTCTTCATGTGGCTCACGTAACACCAATTTGTGTGCGTGTATGTATGTGCAAGACCACCATCATGTCTGAAACAGAAACCCTTAAACCAGTATAAACAATGACGGATTGACTAACCGTTTTGAACAGTAGCCATCAGTAACAGTAACACGTTATTTGTTAACATTCTAGATATAAGAGACCAGCTCAAAGTTATATATTATGTTACACATAAATGCATGTGTAAAGTGCTTGGGGGTTCAGATCACCTTATATAAGAGGTCAAATTCTTTCCTTGTTCTGAAATGAGAAGCCAGGGCATTGTGTTAATGAGCCATTTAAACACGTTTATGATCTAGCAACCTGCACCGTTCAGGGCATTTATTTTGCCATTCACTGCTTTCCTGAACTCAACATAGGCATCTTCGTAACAGAGCAAAAAATGACAGTAACAGGAAGTCCACTGTGTTGGACTTTAGATCGAATTCATATTATGAAGTTAAAAAAAAAAAAAAGAAGAAGAGTGCTCTGTGCAAGGTAATTTAATATCTGCAATAAAATCTACGATTTCTATGATGCATCACACCTGCCAGTAGACACCGTGCCCCAGGAAAGAAATGAACCTCAAGAGATGAAAAATGACACACTGTATGCGCTCTCGTCTGTGTGTGTGTGTGTTGGGTAAGCCGTTTCAGACAGTGAGGTAAGCATTCTTGACACAAACACATTCCTTTCAATATGCACACTCTTTCTTTTTGTCTTGATCTCCTTTTATTTGGTGGTAGTCGGATCCTCCTCTCACTTGCTTGTTGTTCTTTTCAGCCGTCTTGTTTGGCGCTCTGCTTAAGTGCTACTTACATGAACTGCATCTGTAAAAAGACACACGAAGAGTTATAAATAAGGAAAACAGCACTGAATCGCTCAGTAATGACCGTGTGAATACAGCAGTAGAGAATGTGCCCTTGCCACAGGCAGGGAGCTGTGTGTTTTTTGTGTGTGTGATGGGGATGTTACAATATTGCAATTCCAGTAGTTAAATGCAATACCAGTTAAATTAGCTGATGAAATCTGAATACTAGTGAAATTTGATGATTCCCAATACTACAGCAAAAACTAATATGCTATTTAACTTAATTTAAAAAGTTAAATAATATGATAATTTATAACAACATTTTTAAAGTTAAATAATATAATATTAATACTAAGGCTGTCAATCAATTAAAAGATAAATTAATACGTTTTCTGTAATTAATCATTATTAAATCACGCCTAACATTAAAATCTGTGATCATACATATACTGTCACATTAAATCTCCAAATTAATATGAAAAAACCATAAAGACAGAAATGTAAATTTTTTTTCTTTACAATTTTAAAGGCCAGTATCATATTTAATCCAATATTTATACTGTTGCCTCTATTAAATGGATTTGATGGATTTTACTGCTGTGTGTAAAATTAGTAATTATAGCCATTCAACATTATAGTTATAATTGAAATCCAGGCCTACACTGCAAATTATCAGACTGTTTTTATCTTCTTTTTTTTCTTTTTTTTACAATTACATATTTAAAATATCACAACAAATTTTAATTCAGGTGAACTTAATGTGCTATCAAATCTGTTTGAATGAGAGCTGTCAGTTCATTTTTTACCACTTATTTTGCACTTTTATTTTCCACAATAAATATATAATAAACATATTAGAAAATCTACTTCAAGAATAAAAAAGATGCCGTGTTAATTGCATTAATTATATTTAACATGTTAAAGAACAAATATTAATCACAGAAATAAACAAGTTATTTTCCCACCCCTACTTAATACATATGCAAAAAATGACATATAGCCTCAAAGTATTCTTAATTAGGTAAATATTGCTTCAAAAAATTGCAACAGTAATAGTACAAAAAAATGTAACAGAAACAGAAGTCTTTACTGCATTACTATTAAAACAATATTAACATCAAGGAACTATTAATACTGTTAATACTATTAAGACCAATTTAATCCTGTGTAAGTTTTTTGTTTAATAGTAATGGCATAAATAGACAGTAGGTGGTCTATTGTGCTTTCAATGTTAAGTTTCAGTATATTGAAACTGAAAGATAACTACAATACAAAGGTTTGGTGCATTAGTGCAGTGTGGTATGGATTAAATGCATGTGAGGCCACTGTGTGTGATAGTGGATTAACGTATGTGTGCGTGTGCGTGTGTACCTGGGCTCCAGGGATGGGGGTGAAAGGGTTAGTGGGTCTGAGAACAGGCTGGTTGTACAACATGGGTTGTTGGGTTATTACGGGAACCCCTCCCATCTGTCCCAGCTGAGGAGGGACCTAAAATCACCCAAATACAACAATCAGCATTATTTTCTTTTAGCTATATTACCCATTTAATTCATTTACACAATATCCATGTAGCCATTGTAAGGTCACAATACTCACCATTCCATAAACAGGCACTTGAGGTGTTGTCATGGGAAACGCCATGTGAGCAGGAGCCTGTGAGGAAAACAAGGTTGTAAATCAACCATCACTGCACTGATCAAGTGAACGACACACTCACTGATCAAACAGTAGTGTACTCATTCAACAGAACTGTGCTCACTAATCATGTCTGGTTCATTTAAAGAGCTTGTTTAATTACACTCTTTTGTACTCATGACAGGTCAGGTGTACTTAAACTCTCCTGCACGGATTTCTGGGCTGGTCCATTCAACACATGCAACACTGAAGCAAAACAATATGACTCAAGGATTTGACATGTTCCTAACACTGAAAAATTCACCAAACAATCAGTAAAAATTTGTTTTTTTAAATACATTTGGTCTCAGTCAAATACAACAATGCATTTCAGCAACTCAGTCGTTTTACTATACCGTTTAAGGACGCATTTAAATTGATCAAAAGTGAGAGAAGACATTTATAATGTTCTAAAATATTTCCATTTTAAATAAATTACTTTCTTTTGAACTGTTCTCAACATTGATGATAATGTGAAAAATGTATTGAGCACCAAAATCAACATATTAGAGCGATTCTGAACGATCATGTGACTCTGAAGACTGGAGTAATTGCTGCTGAAAATTCAGCTTTGCCATCACAGGAATAAATGACATTTTAAAATATATTAAACTAGTAAACAGTTCTTTTTAAATTAGTATTACACAACATTACGGTTTCACTTTTTTTTTTGATCGAATCAGTGCAGCCTTTTCAAAACACTAAAAAAAAAAGAGAAAAATCTTACTTACCCCAAACTTTTCAATGGTAGAGAATGTCTGAAATGATTGTCCCTAAAACACTGACTTACCTGAATAACTGTCACTCACTTAAAAGCCTAAAACCTTATTTTACACTATTCTGAGCAGCATGGATGTATTTGTTGGCACATAGCATGTATACATCTGTTTTGAATCGTAAACAGGTTACGTAAAATGCAGCCCCCAAACGCACACATTTGCACAAGTCAAAGCTCCAAAAGATGAATACATCAAATGCTACAGAAAGGGCATGAGAGACCGAACAAACATCTATATGTCACAGGGAAATCAACATATGACATTTACTGTGTTTTATCAGCAATAGAGAAGGTGTTAGAAGTTACAGTAAAGGCCTATTCACATGGAGTATTCAAACTATTCTTTTTAATCTCAAGAGTACATGAAACATAAAAAGCCACTGTGGTAAACAAGTTCAAGCTAAAATACAAGTTCCCAGTTCCTGCAATTTTGCAAATTTCCAGTTTATTCCCATAAATTCCCGTTAATTCCCATTAATTCCCATGGAAAGTGTCCAGTCTTGAAAATTCCCAGAATTTTGCCACCCTACATATACATTCTGCTATGATATGATTTGAAATATGATATATGCATACCGACAAATTACCATATATATAAACAGTTCTACTATTATTTATTATTATTAGGTAAGGATGCAACAATATCTAAAGATCTGTAAAATAATGCTGACATTTTTAAGGTTTTTAAATCTACACTGAAAAAGGAAGGGGGGGGAAAAGTTTAAATAAATTAAAATGAAAAATAAAACACCTCACAAGATTATAATTTGACAATGGTTTGTATTTCACTTTAAAGCACAACCAGAGTGTTTTTCCTTTTCATTCAGAAACTCTTCCAAGTAACTTCCAAGTAACTGCCCATTTTCACCCACAATTCCCATTTTCACAACTCAATTTACTGAAAACGTAACACACTGACCAAATAGGTGAAGATAGAAATCAAAAAATAAGGTGTGAAAGAGAGGGAAATGGGAGTGAATAAGAGAAATAATATGTAAGAGAGAATCGATCCATCTTAAACGATACTCAAGATAATAGAACCGTCAGTTATTGGAGGTACTTACATAACTAGTATAGAACATTCCAGTCTGCTGGGTTAAGCACAAGAAAGAAGATAGAGAGAAAGACAGAAACATACAGAGCAGATAGAGTGAGGAGAGTTGAAGACATCAAACACGAGGAGAAACAGGCCAGAAAGATGCGGACCACAGAAAAGGTGGAAAGAGACAGAAAGAGAGACATTGAAGGTTAGTCATTCACAGACATCTGCTCTCTCTCAACTCAAGCAGTTCAGAGGTCAATCTACTCTGAACGCCCTAAGAGAGAGAGAGGAGAGGCCATAAACACACGTAAACAGTGAAAACTCCTCTCCTTCCTGCCTCAGAACAGACTAACATATCACCTGCCTGACTGGATCAATACACACAGCTTGAGAACAGGAAGAAACACGCACACACTTATATTTCCTGCAGCTACACAATATAGAACACAATAGTAAAGATGAACATGAATTTTTTTTTTTTGCCATCTGAATACTAGTGTATGAAATCTGGATATTTGGTGTAAATTGAGCTTTACAACAGATGGATTGCTTTGGGTTTATAAGTTTAAGAATATTTAAATTGATGTTTTGTGTGTGAATGAGAATGTTTACATATGCAAGAATGTCTGTATATAAAGTAAGGGATAAATGTACTGTTATCCAGTCACAGGGTGAACAAAGTGAAGGCCCCTTCAAACCCAAAAAGTTGTTTATTTTGCTACAATGAGCAGCTGACTGATCATTAACCTGCATCACTACAGTACTAATAAGTAAATGGACATGAAATATTAAGTGCACATTACTGTTATGTGAGAAGAAAGAGTCTGCAGAATGATATGAGTGACAATAAAAATAGCACAGAGATGAAGGAAATCGGTTGCCTGGTCAATTATACAGTTTAAAAAAACTGACTGCAGAAATCTGCAAGTGACCACACGGAATCAAGTGTATTGAAAATAATATATTACTGTTTGAATATACACTAAGAAATTAAAACTTTTCTTCAGCAAGGATGCTTTAAATTCATCATAAGTGACTTTTACATTGTTACAAAAGATTTATATTTCAAATAAATGCCGAACTTTCTATTAAAAAACCCTGAAAAATATATATGATGGTTTCCATAAAAATATTAAACAGAACAACTGTTTTCAACATAAATAGTAATAAGAAATGTTACTTGAGCAACAAATCAGCATATCAGAATGATTTCTGAAGGATCATGTGATCTTGAGTAATGCCTACTGAAAATTCAGCTTTGCCATCACAGAAATGACAAAAAATTTAACTTCATTTATTAAAACAGAAAACCGTTATTTTAAAATGTAATAATATTTTACAACATTACTGATTTTACTTTATCATCAAATAAATGCAGCCTTGGTGACTTACCAACCCCAACATTTTGAAAGATAGTTCAAGTATATTTAGATGACTGTATCACTATGTGTAAGTGAGAGTGTGCATCTAAGTGTGTGTGCATGTGTGTGTTCTTACCAAGTGTGGCACGGGCATGGCGACGGGTGGCATGGCGGCAGGTGGCAAGGGGGCTGGGCTCCAGGCAGTGGTGCTGCTCATTGTCTTTGACTGCCAGTTAGTGCCACCGGTCAGCTTCCTCTCTCCAGGCTGAGTCCACAGCATATCAGACCTGCATGCAAACACATGAAAAGAGAGTCTACACACTGCCTCTATTTACAATGTGAAGCTCACAAGGAGCAATGATTTAGATAATTAAATGTAAATCCTCACTTTTTGCCTGGTATTCCCCCAAAGTGCAGGTCTAAAAAGAGAGCGGGAAAAAGAAACAGACCGTTAGAACAGCCCCACGTCAGCGTAATACTGGAAGACTTACAGCATTGGAGACCTATTCATTTCCCCTAAGCTGGGTTTAATTCATCTCTGTCCAACATGCACACACATAGCGTATAGCACCATATGGCTGCTGACTCTCTGTTCAGTAGAGAGGCACAAATGCAATTTGAAGGTCAGTGACTTATGACCAAGTAAATATAGAAAGCCACACAAAAAGACCAATAATGCTGCGAGGGAGAGGGACTCACTGCCTACGAGGTTGGCCAGGGACGAGTCCAGGTCATTGGCCAACAGTTTACTGGCTGTATGAGGGGGCATGACAGGTGCCTGACTGTGAACAGTCACCGCGGGCTTCAGCAAGTCTCCTAACAGACAGAGAAACAGAGAAAATATTATTCCATTGATTAAATATTATGAGAGTGACAAACCACTTATTTTTGCTGCAGACTGACACCTAACCAGAAGCGACACATCAAGCAACCAGCAATTAAAGCTTTTCTTTAGATTTTTTTTGCTGCTGACCTATTTAAATGAATATCAATTGGACTTGACTAAACCAAATTCGCTACTGTGTGTTGGTCATGGTTATTAAGGTTAGCTAAAAAGGATCAAATTTAATCTGTACAGATGAACAGCGGTGTCAGATTAGTACTCCGTATTAGTACTCTGCAAACAATTTGCAAAAACTGCTGCACGATATGACATCCATTGAGAGCATATTTGATGTTTAATGTAGTTATATTGAGTTGTGATGCCATATCGTGCAGCAGTTTTTGCAAATTGTTTGCAGCTGGAAACTTGTCACATCAGGTCTGGTTAGGGCATAAGTATTATAGAGCAGAGAGACAGGTGTGAGACAAGAGAAAGCGTGCTGCAGTCCTGCTGATGTTTATAATGATGCGAGCAGCGGGGATGAGCCTCTGTGAGGCCACTCACGGCATGACAAAAGACCCATAGAGATCTAGAGCAGAACATAAGGTCAGAAAGAGAGGAACCACCCTGAGATCTAAGAGGGAATAACAGAGGTCCTTAATGAAAAACTGGAAATCGGTCATCCCCTTTTTGTCTCATTCTTCTCCTTATGGAGGCAATAAAGTCAACATGAAAGCAAAATAGTGGTTCTTTTTAATTTCTTAATACATGCTTCTAGGCTTATTGACGATGATTAATCAGTGCATGATATTTCAAAGAGGAAAAAAGTCTTTGTAGTCTGTAAAATGTAAAATGTAATAACTCTCAGAAATGACTTTTCTTTCCTTTCCTTTTTATTTTGCCGACATATAGGCCACACAGGCTACTGATTAAATGTTAACCAACAGCTATTTAGACATTGTTTTTAGACGAACACAGACTTTCTAAAATCTAGCCAATAGTTATCACAGTACTTCCATGCACTCAAAAGTGAACTTGACCTTCAGCATCCACAATTTTTTTTTAATCTTTTCTACAAATAACTGCAAACTTTCTGCCTTGTCTCCATTTTTTAAGGATTGCCCAATCACAATCCAAACAATTCCAAAATATATCACATTACAAACGTAAAATATGTTCTGAATCAGGGTAGTTATTGGTAACAAACTATTAAAACTATTTTTTTGGTAACTAAAATAAAGCTGAAATAAAACAAAAAAATATTAGATGAAAAACAAACTTTTGTTTGTTTGTTTTGCCTTGGCAACTAATTAAAAAAAGTGTATGCTTAAGTAATAAAAGTACTCAAATAAAAATACAGAAATATAAAAAAAACTGACACTAATAAAAATCTAAACTCAAAATTACAAAAAAAAATTCAAATGAAAAATACAACAATACTGTAATGGTATATAAATACTACAAAAATAACATTGTTGTGAATGCAATTTAATGTTGAATTTCAAAAAGCTGATCGGTTTCATTAATTGAAGAGGCTGCTGACAAGTGGTTTTCAAATGGTTAATAGCATAGGGCATTTTGCTCATTCTTTTAGTAAATGAGAGAAAGCGAGAGAGACAGTCTGCTGACACATGCCATATTTATACAGTTCTACTTCCTGCTTTTCCAGCAGGAACAAGGAGACCAAAAAAAACAACAAATCCAAGTACACTCACCACATCAGATCAGCCATCACAACCCAGGAAAGAGAGCATAGGAGAGGGAACAGGGGGGAGACGAAAAAGCATAAGGTAAGAAAAAAGGGGCCAAGAAAAGAAAAGAAAGGAAGCAAGGTAAAGGGGCAGAGAGTGACTGAATGTAGTGGTGATTGGAAATCTGTGTGCGTCTTTTCTGTGTTCTGATAAGGAGTGTAACAACAGACGATTCACAGATGGAGAAAAATGCCAATCAGCACCCAGCCTCCACTAACACACACACACACACACACACACACACAGTAGATGGATGAAGGGACGATAGCAGACTGTCCACAACCACAGAGCAGCGAAGTGAGCGAGTAAGTGGAGAGAAAAAAAAAAAGCATGAGCGATTCCCCAAAGAACATTCCCAATCTCTCTAGAACCGAGTCAGGCGGGCAGGTGCTGCAGCCGACTGTACAGTTTGTTTCAGCGTTCCAGCAGCAAAGCTCCACAAACTCAAAATACAGCAAAACCAGCAGAAGGGTTTTATTTTAGGGTGAAGGTTACTTAGTTTTGCAGTTATTAAGCACCGTGACAAGGGTCAAATCTTCAGAGATTAATAAGCGCAGTTAATGATCACACTTGTGAGACATTTTACCAGCTGATGGCTTCACATCACTATTGGAAGCATTAGTCCCAAATACAGCATCAAAATCTACATTCATGGTGGGCATGGAAGCCATGGGATGAAGAGTGCTGCTTTCTAGACCTGAGAGTAACACACACATACAAAACATGGAAAGATGGAAAGATGTCACACAACACATCATGATTGTTGCTCTGTGAAAAAACTATGAAAGTGTTGCCTCATCTTTTGACCACTGATATTACTGGATCAGACTTGAGTGTATAACAGTGATGCACCGAAATTATAATTGTCATTTAAAATTTAATTTCAAATTCTCAAACATATTTTGCAGCCAGCATGTGTGTTCTACTGTTGAAAAGTTTGGGGACAGTAAGATTTTTTTTTAATACTATTCAGCAAGAGTGAAATAGTGAAGGGTGAAACAGTAAAGATATTAATGTAGTGTTACAAAAGATTTCCATTTCAAATAAATTTGGTTTTAAACTTTACATTTTTCAAAGAATCTTGAAAAAAAATTCATCACGGCTTCCACAAAAAAATTAAGCAGAACAACAACCATCCCCCAACTTTTGAACGGTAGTGTACATGACCTCTTTTCTTGGAAGATGTCACCAATCAGCCACTATTTAGATTGATTCCAGTGCTGCACAATTCATCAAAATAAAATCTGAGTAACAACATGGCTTATTAACGTAAAAAGGCTAATTAATCTAGTTAGTTTATAGTTTTGCACATGCCATTTCAAATGTGATTATGTCTTTTTGCCTGAAAATCTAAACAACAGCGATATGAAAATGTTAAATGTTCATCATATCAAAATTGTCAATCACAATGTGTCAAAATAATCACAATATAATATTTTTTTTGCAACCCAGTTAAACCTGGACCATTTCACATGCATATTTTCCCTCTACAATAAAGTTTCTGATAACAGTTATCATCCATCTGAGAATGCCAGTAAATGCATTTTTGTCTGAAAATGTCATTAAATACCATTTCAGCCAAAGCACTTGAAACAGCGAGTGTTCCAATAGTGGATTCCTATTATTATTGCATGATTTCTAATGTAAATAACAATTTACAGCTTAAATCACTGCTCTCCTTATTATTTAAGTCTTTCCCTTTTTTTAAACACCTTATCCCTCCATCTGTCTGCATTGGTGTGTCTTTGCACTGTTAGTAGTATATGTGGATCCCTGGAGACCCGAGTCTCGTTGTGCGTCTGGCTAGCCCTCGGCGCACCTGCCCACTAGCTGTAAAGTGCACGCTCTAAGTGCATACTGCGACCTACAAATCCTGGCATAGCTAAGAATCTGGCAGTGTGTCTACACTCTGCACCTTTTGTCCTCAATTCACACTAGCCCAGCAGATGCACTGAATTGCTGCAAATGAACCTCTGACACTCAGCACAGCTCCCAACCAGAGCCATAATCCCTCAGCGGAAAAGCACCCAAATCGGTCACACTTCTGAATATCTAAAACACTGTTCTAAATCTACACAACAGGATGGATGGGTATGGAGAACACAAACACAACAAAACATTAGTTAGGTTTCAAAACCTAGCAAGCTGCTTGGTCAGCTGTTTGGGGCATCATTGGGCATCATCTCAAATGACACACTTGATGTGGATTCCTCTAGAGTGAAGTCCACAAAATCGCCGGGTGTCTCATTTCTCATCTTATAATCTAGAAGAGTGCTCCTTATGCAATCATGATGCCCTTAATGCATATTTCTGCAAAGCGAACACCACTGCAAACTACTACCCAACAGTCTACAGCCATTATGTCACCAAAGTGTGAACACCAAGGGCTGTTAGGTAGCTTTTGGGACAGGGCTTACAAACAGCTTGTGAGGATTTGAAACAGACAATGTACATAGGAGTGAACTAGCAAGTGAACAAACAAATATGGATGGACATTTACTGCAATTTGCTCCCAGGTTTCGGCAGATGCTCCCCGCCTTTACCAGGCTGGCTCAGTCAGTAGAGCATGAGACTCTTAATCTCAGGGTCGTGGGTTTGAGCCCCACCTATTAGGTGTGCCCAACAATGGCCTAACGGTTAGAAAGTCAGACTTGTAAACCAAAGGTTGTGGGTCCGAGTCTCGGTACCAGCAGGGATTGTAGGTGTGGGGAGTGAATGTACAGCGCTCTCTTCCACCCTCAATACCACGACTGAGGTGAGACCCTTGAGCAAGGCACCGAATCCCCAACTGCTCCTCGGGTGCCGCAGAAAAAATGGCTGTTCAGGGTGTGTGTGTTCACTACTCACTGCTGCGTGTGTGTGCACTTGGATGGGTTAAATGCAGAGCACGAATTCTGAGTATGGGACTGCATACTTGGCTACACGTCTTGTAAGTTTCAAAGGATTGATCTGTTCTAAAGATTTTTCAGGGACTAAATCAGTGATCTAAAGTGGTAAAGCAATAGACATGGTATCGGTGATCGGATGTATGTATGTGGATGGAGTGGGCCGTACCTCCCCAGGCATTGCTGACGGTGGAGATAGGAGTGCACTGCACAGCAGGAACGAAGGCAGGCTGGAGGTCAAACAAGTCACTGGTGAGGTTTGGCATGCTGTACAAGAGAAACAGAGTTTAGTACAAAAGTAATACAATCAAATTCTACCACATAGACTGTGTATATTTAACACAGTACAAACTACAAGTAAGTTCAATAAACTTTAATAAGTAAAATTACAAGACATCTGATTACATTTCAAATATTTGGGGACAATAAGATTTTTTTTTAAAGAAATTAATACTTCTATTTAGCAATTAAATTAAACTGATCAAAAGTAAAGATTCTTCGAGAAATCATGAAAAAATAGTTATCACAAAAATAAATTACATTTTAAAATATATTAAATATATAATATAAAATCGTAGACTTCTAGATCATTGTACAACGTCTGGTAGAACTTAGTCAAAAGCAACTGGACTGTGATTTTCATTGTTTTCAAGGTGCTGCACCACCAGGCCAAGTGGCTTCATCAACTCACTTTAAAAAAGTGTGTCAGTTCTTTTTCTATATATGTCGACATCTAGTACTCCCCTTTCATACATAGTGTACAGCAGTCTAAATATGTTGTTTTTCAGTCTTTGTGTGTTCTGTAAAGGCTTTGAAGGGTTTGAAAACTAATCTGAAGCAGAGAGGCTGGGTATTATTCCCCTAAAAAGTGTCCAGTGATTTCCTTTTCACTTTGTCTATGCAGGCAACATTAAGAGATACTAGTAGTGAGCCCACTGCACAGTAATGGTTTGGTCTTTTTAAATCATCCCAAGGTCTTACAAAGACTTTTTCATTCTCACCAATGGCACATTTGGAGTATATCACTGAGCAGCTCAGAGCCAAAAAAGGGCAAACACCTCAAAAAAGCATTAAAAGCCAAAGCGTCCGTTCACTTCTTATGACAATCAACCTGTTGTGGGAGTTGCATCATCAGCGAGGAAGCTCCCACAACAATCATGAGATTCATGATGCCAACAGGGGTTTAAAACCAGCAAACAACCCAACAGTTGTCAAGTACATCAAATAAGTTTTACCAGACTGTGTAATATTGTACAGTATATACAGGTGCATCGCAATAAATTAGAACGTCGTGGAAAAGTTCATTTATTTCAGTAATTCAACTCAAATTGTGAAACTCGTGTATTAAATTAATTCAATGCACACAGACTGAAGTAGTTTAAGTCTTTGGTTCTTTTAATTGTGATGATTTTGGCTCACATTTAACAAGAACCCACCAATTCACTATCTCAACAAATTAGAATATGGTGACATGCCAATCAGCTAATCAACTCAAAACACCTGCAAAGGTTTCCTGAGCCTTCAAAATGGTCTCTCAGAGTTGAAATACTGATATCTAAATATAAATTTTAAGGTGGCAATCTCTTCATATTATCAGTCACAATTTTGTTATTTGATTAGTGACCTAGAAAGTATACTGAATCTTAAATATCTCTTAATTTGTCTGACATAAGCTTTCTTTATTTCAAAATAAAAACTTTATGTCCAGTTTAAAATGGTTCTGAATCCCAAAATCTCAGACTGGCGTATGCACAGTAGCACAGTGGTTCTTAATTCCAGTCCTCGCGTACCACCGCTGTGCACATTTGTATGTATCTCTTAGCACTTCAGACGTGTGTTTTCTTGGATATTCTGCCATGATTCCAGTTCGAAGGGAGCTTACGTTCCATTCAAAGAGCATTAAAGTGTGCGAGTTGTGAATTGAAAATTCTATTTATTTACAGAGCTATATGATGTCACACTTCTCTTGTAAGTTTCGTCTGTGTGTGAAGACACAACAGGCTGTGGTGTAGCGCAAATCAGTGAATAAATGTTCCAAAGTGAAGCAAAGAACACTGTGTAGGGACCATGTCAATCAGAACACAGTTCATCCATGGAGCTCTCTTCTAACGAGCTGGTTATATGAATCAGGTGTGTTAAATAAGAGACATGCATAATATGCAGAGCAGTGGCACGCAAGGACTGGAATTGAGCAATTTAGCATATATTGTAGATTTACTGAGTATTACTGTATGGTATAATATGTACTGCAGTCATGTACAGTATGTTAGTGACCTGTTTGTTGAGGGTGGGCTTGTGGTATTGGTGAACAGGTCCATGCCCGCAGTGTGGTTGTTGACACTACCCATAGACTGTGTGCTGGGTGAGGTGGAGGGCGTCTGCATGCTGATCTCCTTCAGATGCTGGTTCTATACAATCACAAAACACAGGAAGAAAACATTTAAAGAGAATGTAAACATGTAAAGACTGGGCTGCTCTGCTCATTCCTCCTGCAATGGTCACTATAGAGAATGACAGCACAGAGCATTTTCTTCAGCTGAGCTCTGTGAAATCAGACAGATTACAGCCACTCAGGCAGCTGAAGTGCCAGTCAGCTACAGCTCAGATCTGCTGTCCGTGTGTGTATTGTGGGTGTATAAGAGATGGCTGAAGTCAAAGAATATCTCCCAGGTCACACTTCCTTTGACAAAAACTAGCAGACTAGCTCAGAAACATCAACTACTGGAGTAGCCTAAACCAACTATATGAAAAGAACAAGAAAAGCCAATAAATCATCAACATTTAAAGCTACTTCAAGCCAAGAAAGTCACTAGAGCGAAACTATTTGATATCAGACCAACCAAAACCTAGAGTCTGGCCACTAGGCTTAAACCAATACTGTGTACGGTGTTCTTTACATGAGCAGCTCATGATCTTGTGTTTTTGGTATCGCTGTGACACTGTTCACAGTAAATGCTGCTCCACACAAACTTATCTCTAAATGCGCTCAGAGTTTGGGTCGCTTAGAACATGTATTTGGGAATACAAAATGTATCAACCATTTCCCAAACTTGTAATGAGAAGCACTGTTAAACCGACTGTTGTCAACAAAAGAAAATCTTCAAGAGCTGCCTGCGGATTTCTGCCCAAAAAAAAAAAAAAAAACCTTGAAGCTTTACTATTTGAAAATGAATTAAGACATTGATAAATATTAGTCATTTAAATTTTACAGTTGCACTCTAAAGTTATTATATTATTTTCCTATTTTCTCCTTTACAGTGAAATATATCAATAGACAAATTCTTCTCTTCTTCTTATTTTATTATTTTTATTTGGCAACAATCATAACAACAACAATTATTATTGTGTATAAATTTGTAGATATAATGATATGATTAAATGCGTAAATTATTATTATTATTATTATAGACATACCGATAGATAAATCACAACATTTGGGGCCAAATTTTATAGCCCTATAAACAAGCAAACCTGAAGCTTCTTTTTAATTTACTTTAAAATCACATTTTAAAATGTAATTTCTAATCAGAAAAATCACAATTTGATTTTTTTGCTCATACCACGCAGTCCTAGATTCTAGTTTCTACAGTGAGAGGAAGTAGGCTGCGACATGGCAAGGTTATATGCCCTTTACAGCAAAAAGAAAATGTGGGAAGAAAAGAAAACGCATAGAAAAAGAAAGTGATAGTGCTCTAAAATTCTGTGCGTGACCCTCCAGGAGTGTTGGGATCACAATCACAAAGAAACACCAGTTCAATTTCACACAAACTTATCCGAACATGAGCTGTGTAAATACTTTGGTGTTGGGACTTCGAAATTGCTTTGAATGTTTGAACTATTCAGATACAGAGCCACGGTGCATCTGAGGATACATTCCACACAACTGACGTGTGTGTCATTCAGTTTGTGTGCGTGTTGGTGTGAGCATTTGTGTCCCACAAGGTATGACAGTACATCCTGATGGGAACAGAGAAGTTTGATTAACCCCGCTGACCACTTACTGCTGGAGGCTAATCATTAAAGGTACAGTACAAGGGCGTATTCTGTAAACACACATACACTTGTATGTGTAGAACAAAATGTTCCCATAACAGCAGCCAAATCTCAATTGCAAAAAACTTCTCTGGGTGGAGCTGGGATATGCCTTTGCTCTATATGCTCTTTATATTCTACACAGAACCAAGGGCTAACATCACTTCCTGTCTACACTTTAAACTTAATTAGCAATCAAAACATGTTCATTCACAGACCATAATAGGATTGATTGTAACCCACCTTGAGAGCTTGCAGACGGGCTTGCTCCTCCTCCAGGGCCTGTTGTTTCTCCTTCTCGTCCATCCTGCTGGATGAGAAGGAGAAGGACATGCCCGTGTTGGACAGGGACGACACCGCATTGGACAGAGTGTTGGCTCTACAAACAAAAACACAGATAAACACAGTAGTGAGATTTCCCTATCAGTTCTTTATTTAAGAGCTGATAAATGTAGCACTATTCATTAGACAAGTGTTTCCCAACCTTTTTTTTAGTCGCGGCACCCTTTGGAAATTTTAACAAACTTGTGGCACCCTACAAAATGAATTGTATCACAATATTTGAATTTCTAACTTCGATATGATAATTTGAAAAGTATAGATATTCGGTACAACAGGGAAGAACTGCAGAATATAATGTCATACAGATATTTTTAATATTATTTAAAAAATGTGTCCATCAATGGTGGCAATCAGTAGGCTAATTTCTAATGAAGAGACCAATTTATATGACAGATTTGAATGTAGGCTTTTATACATATGTAAACATTATTTAATTACCATTATAACTAGCTATGTCACAAATTTTTGCTCACTCAGTGTTTTTTTTTATTTTACAGTGGGGTAATTTTGGTGCAGTAGCACGAGATTGATTTCAAACTTTGAATTGAATAAAAAATGACAAGCAAGCAGTCAGTAACAAAATAAGAACAAATAAAGAAATTAATAATGATAGCACAAATAAAAAATAACGACAGGCCTTCGAATTAAATAATTTTTTTTTTTTTTTTACCAGTTATCCAAATAATGTTTAGACCTAGAAAGCTATTATTATCAGAACACGTGAGCATAACATAGCGGTTAGCAGATCAATGAATGAGAGGGCAGCATTACCAGAGTTGCCCATATACCACACCATGTTACAACACAGTAACACAGAAACAATACTGTACTACATCGATGTTTCCTGTTGACTCAATTTTTGAGTGGACTTTGCTGTTCCAATTCGCATGAACAGTATACGAGTGGAGCGATTGAGCGGAGCGCACACGCGCAACTACAAAAATGAAAAAGGAGAAGAATAACTTCACAGATTTATGCCCAAACAGGGCTGTACAGAGTGATGCTGGATTGTTTGGATCTGTAGGATTTCAAACCTGTTGTCAGCGGAGAGCTCCTTGGTTTTCTTTCCCTCCAAAGAGGCCAGGTGCTGCTCAAGAGCCTCCAGGAGACTGCTGGGAGCCTGCAGGAGAAAGAGACGAGTCAAGAACTCAATGAGAACATACAGCACCAGTTTAAAGAAGACACACTCACACGGTCAAACACACTTACACACACACACCTACTCGATCCACCTGAGTTTCAGCAAATAATAACAGGAGCATGCTTTAAGCTTTTAGTAAGAGGCGTACAGACAAAGCATAAACAAGCACAAAAAAACAAGAGAGAGGAAGAGTACAAATTCGAAAGAGAGGAAGTGACATGCACAGGGGAAGATCCAAACCTCAAACGCATGACAGACCCATGAGGTCACTGATATATCTCAGTATTGGACCATGACATTAAACACTTTACACTGGCTTTTGGAACTAGTACTTTGGGGTTTCGGTGAGAATTTCTTGTGCTGAGTCGCAAATCTAGCTAAAACCTTCCACTGAGCCCTTTATACCGATCTAGGATTTGTTTCTTTTGAAAAGAATTATCTTAACAACTACAAGAGGAAGAATTACACAGGTCCCAGATCAGCAAACACGGGATGTGTATGTTAGCACTTAAGAGCGCACACACATCCCGTGCTGCTTCATTCAAATGAGAGCAAATGTTAGCACAAGCTCACAGCTCATGGTTGGTGAAAAGAGCAGGCGCTTTGTGCCAAGTTTCCAGAACAGACAACCCATGTAAAAACTGCTCTTATGGACTAAGGGTAAGGTAAGCTCTTCGACTGAGCCTAGCTGGCAGCGCTGGCCAACATGTCTGGATCTGATCTAGGTTGGCTTTTTCTCCACATCGCTGAGAGGGCAGATTGGGTTTGATCCATTCCACAGAAAACAGAAGCCAAAAGAGAGGGGGAAAAACACATATGCAGCAGTCTACAATTCAAATAGAACTAAAAATTTACATTTCGGGCTAAGCGGGAAAATGTATTACCTTTCACAGAAGTGAGATAAAAAAGAAAGATGAAAGTGTAACAGCTTTTAATTTGCTCCTTTCCTGTCTGATTTGATTTCCTCAGAGAAGACACGGCATGAACAGGCTTTTGATTAAGTGGCTACATTATAGATGTGCGTCCGGCTACGCAAAGGAAAAAGCGAGGTTATATGAATACTTCAAGCTTACAAACGTAAGGCTGCTGGGCAGTTTTCTCACGTAAAGGAGAAACAGGGCATTGAGTAAAACATATAGCTCTTACAAGAGCTCCACTTTTATGGTCAGGGGGTTCGCAAGCATGAAGCTGTCATGCAACCCAGCAGGAGATTTGCTTTTATGCTGATCTAAGCTAACGATTTGATCAAACTATAAAGAGACAACTGCACATCTGGTCTCAGATCAGCAGAAAAAGCGATGTACAGCCATGCCAGCAAAGTGACGGGGCAGAGGCCACATTCAATCAGTTAGCCTGGTTTTAAAGGGATGAATCCGCTGATGCAGTCAGAAACAAACCAGGGCTGAGAGATATAGCTAAAAAATGACCTCAATATTTACTTTTTGATGATATTTGATCTCAACATACACAGTATGTATTTGCTCTAAAATGACTTTTAATTTAAGGAATAATCATTGACTAAACCAAGATTCTGACTCAAAATACAGTAAAATGTAGTTAAAAATAAATAACTAAAAAGCATGTTTTAAGAATGTTTTTCATTAAATGAACGTTGATTTTTATAGAATCCTTATTACATAATATATGTTATATAATTATATGGAACAATGCAACAATATATATTATTAAATTATAATATTTACCCTCATATTATTCACAGAAACATTATTTTAGTTTTATGTTTATGTGTTTAATCAGACATGTCAGTTTTAATTGTCATATGCCCCTGGTTTAAATAGCAAATATTTTCATTACAATTGTAAAATATTACTGCATTTATAGTCAGTGCAAAACTGGTAAAATTGGATGGCCAAAAAAATTTGTATATGTTGTCACTATTTGATATATCACCCAGCACTAGTAGTAGCACAGGTTATGTCAAATACAAGCAGTGCATATAACCCACCACCTACAAGGTAAGATCCTCTAGTTGTCTGAAAGGAACAATAAACAACGTGTTACGGCAGGGGAATAAACCTCTCATTCAATACAGTGTGTTAACCCCACTCAACACTCAATGTCAACACTCATACAAAGACATCAAATTTGATGTCTCCACAAAATCATACTGAAATAGTGTGATCATCACTAAACACACATTTGAGAGGGAAATAAACAGAGAGAGGAGTGTTTGGTAACTTCTATCAAGCTCTACCACAAGTCTTGACGCTATTAATATTAAGTCTGACTTTTTAAACCAAACAGGAGAGAGGACAGGAGACAGGACGTCCAAAAAACAGTGAGCATGGGTACAAAAACAGCATGTAAGACAACAAGAGAGAGGACGAGGACAGGTGCAACACAGAGAGAAAAGAAGGAAGGGAGAGCGGTGGTACGATGGACGACAGCAGCAGCGTAGTGAGGAAGTAGAGGAGAAACAGAAAGTGGAGATGAAATGTACACTGACCTGAGTGAGATCTGGGATGTCACCCTGATCAATCCCAACTTGCTGTGTCAAACAAAACAAAACAAAAACGGTAAACAAACAAACGAGGGGAGGGAGGAGGAATCAGAAAAAGAACAAACATGAAGGATCATTACCTCATGCAATGACTAAAAATGAAAGAAATAAAAATAACAGAGGTGTGGCATGCCGAGAGCCACAGAGGATCAATGGGAACGGACACAGACATTGATAATGTCTCACACGGCTGACTGTGGCGTGTGGAGTGGTTAACATTCAAAAACTATTTTTACAAATGATGACTTTTAAATGAGACCCGGTGGAGGTTAAAAAACAAACAAACAAAGGCAATTTAGACAAGAATCTCACATGGTGATGGACATTGTTCTTAGAGACTCATTGTCAAATCAAATCCCTGAGATATTTGATGCATCAGAAGAAAATCTGCATCTGGAAATAAAACCAGACTGTCTAATGCCTGGCTGGATGGACGGAGGGGAGGTGAGAGAAAGAAGGCAGCAACATGGAAATTCATCAGTGTCTAAGAGAGAGGTGGGAGTGAGAGTCCTATTAGCACCAAACACAGATCTACATTTGGGCCAGAGGGACAGAGAGACAGGACTCTCAAGCCATGGGAATCCACAGTAGGAAAGACAGCCGTCAACGGCTACAGGAAGAATAACAGGAGAGAAACAGCTCTTTCCACACTGTATAAAGCAATCTTAGTGAGGTACACTGCCCCACACTTTGGAGCTATAACTTTGCATAGATTTTCCATAGTTTATCCAGACATTCATGATAACTGGATAAGGATTTTATTTATATAGTTGTGGAGATAGCTGGGGGTTAATTTTCGCATGTACAGTACCATTCAAAAATATGGGGTCGGTAAGATTTTTTAATGTTTTTGAAAGAGATTGTGAAAAATTATTACAACTTACAAATGATTACAACTGTTTTCTGTTCTAATATATTTTAAAATGTAATTTATTTCTGTGATGGCAAAGATGAATTTTCAGCGGCCATTACTCACATGATCTTTCAGAATCACTCCAATATGCTGATTTGGTGCTCAAGAAACATTTCTTTGTATTATCAATGCTGAAAGCAGTTGTGCTGCTTAATATTTGTGGAAACCCTGATATTTGTAGAAAGTTCAACAGAACAGCATTTATTTTAAATATATTTTTTTATAACAATAATTTGCAAATAGAAATCTTTGGTAACATTATATATGCATTTACTGCCACTTTTGATAAAAATGAATGTGTCTTTGCTGAATAAAAGTATTAATTCTTAAAAAATAAATCTTATAAACCCCAAACGTCTGAACGGTAGTGTATGTCAGGTAATACGTAAGTTAATAAACAAACAATTGTACATGGTGTACAACTGCACCCAATGAGACCCTCAATCAGCAGACTGATGTTATAATGCTGATTTCAGTCTCTTTTTAGCCATTGCAATATTTTAGAAAAACTACAACAGAGGTCAGTTTAACCTCGATTCAAACAAAGGATGAAACTTAGTGCTATCCGAATCACTTCTGGCAGAAGAGGCACATGTATATGTTTATGGACTCATTCCATGAGGACTGTGCAATGCATTGCAGTGCCAGAACACTAAATATATGGCATCCGTGCATGCATCAATCCAGAGAATATGAATGCCAGAGCATTGTAGGATGGAGAGATATGACAGAGAGAGAGAGAGAGAGAGAGAAATTGTTGGGGCAGAGGGGTCGTTGAACCAGTCTAATCTCAGACCTGTCATATCGAAACACTGTGTGTGTGTGTGTGTGTGTGTGTGTGTGTGTGTGTGTGTGTGGGTTTGTGTGTATTGCACTGGTACCTCAGCCACTTTAAGAAACTCTGACAGCTTGGTCATCCTGTACAGAAACTTCTTATAGATGTCCAGAGCATCTTTACACTGGTTTTTCTTCATATCAAAGTATTTCTCTGAAACAGCAGCACAAGAGATATAGAGAGAAAGAGAGAGAGAGAGAGATGGGGAGAACAGAACGATTAAGCAGAGAAGCTCAAACAGATAAAGACTGCAATTACCCATCAGAGGACTGTCAAAACACTCTGGGCTGTTTGAAAGAGACAGGGGCATATAAAAGCTGCTGTAATGGTTCGCTCAAGGACAACTAGCACTCCTTTGCTTCGCAAAGCAAACACGCTTGTTGATCTTGTGCAGACTGACCACAAAGGAGGGTAACGTTAAGTTAACCATTAAATATTGTTGTGGACGAAGTATTAAGATCCTTTACCTCATAATGTATAAAGCACTAATACCACACTGTAAAAATACTCTGATACAAGTAAAAGTCCTGCATTGAAAATGTTACTTAAGTATAATCAGGTATAAACATTACTTAATGTAAGTATAATCAGGAAAATTGATTTAAAGGTTTAAAAGTGAACTGGGACTATTATACTATTATTTATTATATCATTAGATTATTATTCCTATAACGTTAATGCACATCAGCAACTCACCAGGAACACCAACAATCTCAGACACCTTGGTCCACGCATCATGTTTTTAAATTTATGTCCCTGTACGTCATAGATTATTGGGAAACCCGCCACAGCAGTAATCAACCTCTCCTCCATTTTGCTTGGGAACTAATGTGGTCGGAACCAAAGTTTACAGGACTGCGTTCTCTGGAATCCTCTCAAGCGGTGGACTTCTACGTTCCGATTGGTTGCCGCCGAACCGCGTCATAGCTCATTACCATAAAGTTGACCTGATTTCAACTCTCCTCGACGCCCTCAACGTCCATATCGCCGGACGCCGGCTCACATTGAAAATGAATGACTTCCGGCCACTTTGACGCTCTCGACGGCGGCGGTGTGAACGCACGGTAATGCATTTTTAGACCATCAACCTAGACGGCCGTATGTCACAACATAAAAAAATACAACAATAAAAATCATGGAAAAGTTAATGACTCAACGACTGAATAATTAGTGCTCAAACAGAGTAAAAAGCAACAATAGCTGAAGAGGAATTAAAGCCTCATTTCTTCTAGACTATTAAGGGGTCACACACTGGATGTGAAGTGCAACATCAGGTCAAAGACAGGACAAAGCACAAGGTTCCAACACTGTGTTGCTCTGAATGTGTGAGCACAAAGTCAACTCCTCATGAGATTCAAGAACAAGACTTAACCAGAGGGAGTTGCTTCAGTAATATTTGTTTGCATGCTTATAATTTAGCGCCATGCCTGTGACCGTGGCTATATTCAGGGGAAGAAACAAGTGAAAAATAGTCAAAGTAAATAACTAAACTATATGCTGTAGACACAACAAATAAAAACAAAACGTATAAAATGTTTTGGAAAGCTCATCTTTCATAAATTTAAAACTATATCTGGCCTCACTTGATCACAATCTTTTTTATAAGAATGAACTGAAAAGTAACAAGCTAAAGTTAGAAGCATCAAATATGCTTCCAAGATATTGGGCTCTGGAACAAAAAAGGCATAAAAAAGGATCTTCATCCATTAACAAAAACTTGTGTGTTAGTCTGGAGAGGCCTATTGGACAGCAGATGTAGATAATATGGTCCCACCAATTTTCAAAATATAGACAACATTTTCTACCAACAACAGGACTGATTTGTGCTACACAGATGCAGTTTATTTTGGATAAAAGTATCTCAAACTATTGATTAATTTGTATAACGTACTGGAAGACCTGAGCTCTTGTGGTTCAACTGCACTGTTCTTTGCTCAGAAAGCAGTAACCCCTAAAGTAGAGTGTGCGAGTAGGATGCTCTCCAGAGTGCGAGGGAGTGAATTACTCTTACCCAGTAGGTTGATAACACCCTCATTATAGGCAGCAAACAGACGGATGGAGTCTTTGAAGAGCAGCATGAAGGCAGCGTTGATCACTCCGTTAGTCAGCTCATTAGGGTTAGCCTACGGACACACATCCACAGGAGAGAGTCCACATTATACCAAATTGCTTGGACTGAATCAACATCAGTGTTGATCTGTTAAAATAGGGAAATTAATATTTTTATTCATAGCAAGGGTGAATTAAACAGATCAAATTCATAGTAAAGACATTTATAATGTAACAAAAGGATTAGTTTCCACTTAAATGCTGTTCTTCTGAACTTTCTATTTGTCAAAGCATTCAGAAAAAAATGCAAGAAATTAAACTGGATCAAGGTTTACACAAAATAATATTAAGCAGCACAACTGTTTCAACATTGATAATAATAAAAAAAATGTTATTTGAGCACCAGATCAGATGATGTTATAATGATTTCTGAAGGATCATGCAACACCGAAGACTGAAGTAATAACTGCTAAAAATGAAGCCGTCCTTAAAACAGGAAACAGTTGTTTTAAAATGTTAATAATATATAACAACATTACAGTTTATATTGTATTAAATAAATGCAGTCATGGTGAGCATAAGAGACTTCTTCCAAATACATTTAAAAAATCCTTCCGACCCCAAACTTGCAATAGTATATGAATGTTTTTTTCCTTAAATTGGAGGTTTAGCCAGTAAAAAAATAAAGACAAGATAACGTCAATTATATAAAAACAAATAAATACATTCTGATTGGATTTGAATAATTGGGAAGCTTTAAATCATACATGCATGATCTCCATCACAAACCTGGAAATCCAGCAGCGCGTCCAGCTGGTTTTGAATGATAGGCAATGTTTTGATCAGCTTCTCTGTGTTCATGGTACGCATGACTCCATCAATACTGCACCACAAACAGATAAACAACCAATCTTATTTAGCGCTTAAAAAAATCAGCTACTTAATCAGCTTTTAAAAACAACTTAATTATCGGAGTAATGAGCTAGCCTGATTCGATTGTGTCCTGCTGAGACCAGGTGTTTGAACACAATCTTGACTCTAGGCAGACAATATTAAGGAGGCAGAACTGAGGTTTACCCACCCTCTCTTCATCTTGGTAAAGTCCACAGCCACCAGCCTATAGGAAAGGGCTTTTTCATTGAGATATCTGCTGTACCGTCTGATGAATGTGGACATGTCATAGCCTGAGGGAAAGATCGAGGGGTTTATCATCAGTGTGTGTGTGTGTGTGTGTGTGTGTGTGTGTGCGTGCGCGTGCGCGTACAATGCTTTAGAGACAGGAAAGGTGTTCATGTTTCTTACCTTGCAATGCACCTTTATCAAGGAAATTGTTCAGATTGAAGAGCGTGTTTCTTGAGGCCAGATACTGAATGAAACGCTGTGGGTACAGAGAACAGATCATCAAAATGCTGACACAAAAATATAAAGTCATATACTAGATGTGATTCTGCAGCTCTTAATCTGTCAGAATGCGGGAGCGACTTCATCCCTGACGTGTGGAAACTCCCCGCTGCTGAATTTGCAGTACACAGTGTGAAATCTAGACCTGTATACAAGACCAGACTCTTCTGAGTTCTCTTTGAGCTGCCAAGTATGTCTGCTGCAGCTCCCCTCCTCCATCCAGCCCCATCCCACCAGAACAGAGCAAAGAGAAGCACACAGTGTTCTGGATGCTGTTGAGAATGGACATGATGGGAGTTTTGGGAATGCAGTAGATTTATACTACTACTAGCATGCTACTAGGATGCATTCATGCTTGTCATGACATACATGACAGGAAAACAGAACCTTTACACTGACCTCAAAACCAATCATACTCTTTTGCGATCTGATCACAAAAATCATATTCGGAGATTAGAAAATGAAGTAAGTGACTATGCAAGTGACTACATCTCATTTAGTGACTATATCGCACACAAAGTTCTGCCCACTCACCTGTCAATCAACCACAGGGTTAAAATTCTTGATCTAACTAAAGTAGAGAAAGATATTTTCTGCCGTATTGTGATGCCCATTTGAGTGAAACATTCTTTTGTAGGATTGGGGCTCGGTTATGTCTATTGATCGTTGATTGGATTGAGGCAGACCTGAATGCTTGCAGTCGATTGAAAGAAAAGGACAGGATTTAAACTGACTAAATAATTGGAGAAGTCCGGCATACATCACCAAAGTGAAATATGTAGTTTCACCAGATGAGCAAGTTACGAATTTTTAATTAAAAATTATGAGGTAAAAAAAATATTTTAGAAAAGCATGTATGCTGGATGAGTCATTCACAATAATATCAATAATACGCATTTAGCAAATAGGATGGTGATTTTAAATTTCATGCTTACTTTAAACTTTACTGATTATGTGCATCTTGAACACAGTTGTTAAAAGGATGCTCCGCCCAAAAATGAAAATTCTCTCATTATTTACTCAACCTTATGCTGTGTCAGATGTATATGAATTACTTTTTTCAGATGAACACAAAGATATTTAGAAAAATAATCAATTTCTGTGAGGTGGGGCTCTCAAATTTGATGCATCACAACGTGCTGACGTTTAATTCACACAAACTCTCGTGTGCGACTTTGGTTTATGGTTTAAAAAGTTTAAAATATTAGTATTTTTCTCACACACACACACACACACAGTACATCCCCGCATCTCACTCTATTCTATTCCTATTCCATCATCTATAGCACAACTGTACATACAAATTATTTTAATTATATATTTTTTTCCTATTTATATTTACATATGTGTGTATTTTTACTCTCATCTTATTTTTATTGTCTGTGTGTTGTTGTTGTCTCTGTGTACTGGAAGCTGGAAACAAATTCCTTGTATGTGCAAGCATACTTGGCAATAAAGCTCTTTCTGATTCTAATACACACACACACACATTTGACATTGCATCAACAGACATTTATTCATCAATCGGGCTAGTATGGATTACTGTTATGAAGAGTCAACTTTTTATTTAATTATCTTTTTATTTTTTACTTTTCTAAACAATCTTTGTGCTCCACAGAATAAAGTAACTGGGACGGCACATCTGGGACAGCATGAGGGGTGAGTAAATGATGAGAGAATTTTCAGTTTAGGGTGGAGCATCCCTTTAAAGGGGTCCTATTATGCTTTTTCACTTTTTCAACTTTAGCATCAAAAGCATAAAAAAAGAGCATAAAAAAGATCTGCAAAGTTGCAAAGCTCAAAATCCACTTAAAAATGAGATATTTTATTTAACAGAAATCACTTTTCAAATATTTTTTTCGTGGGTTTAAATCGCGCTCAAATTGATTTGATTCTGACACAATATTTACACTGAAGCTTGCAGGCGGCTATGGTAAGGGGCATGACATTTCCTGACCAGGCGCCGAGTGCTGCCAATCACAACACACACTGGCCCAGCTAACCAATCACAGCACACTTCGTATTTCAGAAGGCGGGCCTTCATTTGATACAGGAACTATTCGAGCCGTTCATGCCAGACTGAGGAGAGACTCGAGGTGTTGTAATAATGTAAAATATGTGAAAAATAATGTCTTTTTCGAACAACCTAGTATGAGAGCCTGTTCTAGTACACCCCCAAAACAAAATCAAGACTTGATGAAACAAATGATTATTGAGTAAATCTGAATGGAACAAATTGCGCTTCCTAGAAACTGTATTTGTCAATGTCCTTTACAATACACTACAAAGTTATCAGTCCCACACCGAGTATAAACCAGAATGCAGTAAGTGTTACCTTGATCTTATTTCATAAATCAGTACACCAGAGAAAAAGAGTCAGCAGGAAACCGTTTTTACATACTGGGATGGAGCCTCAGGCTTGTTTCATCCCAGGGGAGAACCAGCATGAGGACCTGGTGACAGGCCCTGCAGTCAGGCAAAATCTGCTTGGCACAGAGGAATGAAATAGTCCTGGCAGGGGCCATTTTCAGCCGGTGGCAAAAGTATTCAAAGGTTGAGAGTCACTGAAATCACAGAAGGGTCCTAAAATGCATCTGAAGGAAGGGGAGGCTTAAAAATATGCTGCATTCCTAGAGCTCTGCTTAAATTGTCGGATTAAGAGTGGTGACCCACTGAACGGTAGGCTGACAGTCTGGTGTGTATATAGAAGGAAAGGGGCCACCCACTCTTTGAAAGATCAATGATCTCTGATCTTAAAGAAGCTCTTGGTGTGGGGTGGTCCTGGTCATGTGATTGTGGCTTTGTGTGAAGTTCCTCATTCTATTTAAAAATTTGTTCAGCCAAACGGTAAAAATTCAGCTGCATTTTAACAATATACAAAAAAGGACAATGGCAGAATAGTGATCTAACACTGGGGATCAGAGTATGTGAGTGGAGCGAGGAGTGAAGCGGCGTGATTTTTGACTTGAGCGAGGAGTGGATTTTTTTTAAAGCAAAGTAGGCTTGCCACGATAGACGGTGTTGACGGTGATACCGTTGTTAAGCCGCAACACCGGTTACGTCACTTGCCCACCGCGGCACCGACCCCCACCGTCATTTTGATTTTTTAATAGTAATAAAAATAATTTAGTTCAGTAAAAGAACAGACACTACAATTAAAAAAATGAACGTGGCTGCTCAATACAGCGTGCCGATAACGACAGTCGCATCACAGATCAGATTTAATTTCTCCAGTGAGGAGAGTGAGTCGAGCTGACTGACAAGAAGAGTGGGGTGAGACGGACAAGACGACCGCGGATGATTTAGTTTTAAAACGAAATGCAAAAGCCCCTGTTTGGCAGTATTTTGGATTTTGAAAAGCCTGTTGACTTTTGCCGTTTATCTAAGGTGATTTTGGAAGTTTTTTAAACATTCGTTTATTATTTAATTGGTTCCACAGTGTTTGCTGATTTTTACTTTATTTAAACTTTGTGTAATTTATTTATTTTATTTGACATCAAGGTGTATGCCGTGCCTCCAAGCTTTCTTATTCGTTTTGCTAATAAACTTTCCACGTTTCTTATTTATTTGGTTATATATTATACGTTTACTTATATTAGGCATAGCCTGCCCTATAGCATGGTGTATTTTTATTCATTTTGTTAATAAAAGTTCTGTGTTTTATATATAGGCTAAAGTGAGTTTGACGTTGTATTTTGATGTTGCATTCAAGCAATTGACGCCGAATTGCCGCTAATTTGAAAATCCGCACAGTGCTTTTACAAGCTATTTAAAAGCGAAGGAAAGCGAGGAAAAGAGGGAAAATTCAAACAAACTAAAAACAAACAATTGCAGGCATTAGCTAACCTGAAATGGTTTCACCGTGGGGGCAGGGGCGTTCCCTCTTTTCCTTCGCTTTTAAATAGCTTGTTGTAACGAATCAGCTCATGACAGGAAATATGAATAATTAACCATAACTAGTTATAATTAACTATTCATATTTTAGATCCGCTGTAGATATTTAGCTGACCTCTCAGGGTCAACTGTCTTGTCAATTCTAAGAACGTTAATGGTGTTACGCATTCCGGGGAGAAGGGTTCATGGGTCCTCATATGGCTTTTTTAAATGAGGGGGGTTACAGAGTATTTGTTAAATATAAAAACAAAATATATATTGTGTGTTTGATTGGTCCAGACGCTACATTGTAAAAGCGGCATGCACATTTTACTTTCACTTTCAAATAGCGGCAATTCGGTGTCAATTGCTTGAATGCAACAAAATCCAACGTCAAACTCACTTCAGCCTATATATAAAACACAGAACTCATATGATGTTGCTAAAAAGAACATTATTTTGTGTATTTGGTGTAATAAAATGTGTTTATGTGGTTTACGGTTCAAAAAACACATTATTTTCCACATACTGTACATTATTGCTTCTCCTCAATGCCCCACCTTTCTGAAACGCATCGATTTTTACAAAGCTCATCGGTCTGAAAAGCGAGGTGTGCTCTGATTGGCCAGCTATCCAGTGCGTTGCGATTGGCCGAATACCTCAAGCGTGTGACGGAAATGTTACGCCCCTACCATATTGTGATGCCTTGTCACGGCCGGAGCAACGAGACAAAAACATTAAAACCCATTATAAACGAGGCATTTGTTGCATCCAGTGGGAACATAATTACTGATTATAATGACTTATACGGTCTGACTTATACTGTCAAAACCATGTCTGCATTTGTGATTGGAGAAATGACAAATAACAAGCGCTACTCTACACTGCTCAAAAATCACGTTTGAATCGTCAGTGGCAAATTCTTTAAATATAAAAAACGTACTTACAGTCTGTGAGTCAGAACAGCCGGCATTGTAGTCTA